AGGCGGATGCAGAGCTGGGGCAAAGCCGGGTGCAGGAAGGGCTGTGTGTGTGAGGGGAGAGTTTAGAGGGGTGGCTCTGTGGGTCCCCAGGATGGCCAAGAGCTGGATGGGTGCTGCAGCTCTGCTCCCAGGGGAGATGGGCCTTTGGCTGCTGAGCCGCCCCCACAAGCTGTCTTTTTCTAAGACAAAAGGCCTGGGGAGCGGTTGTGTGGGGCTGCTGCGGTGGGCAGGGGCTGGGGACTGGGTCTGGCAGAGGGGGCGAAGCTGGGTGCAGAGTACAGTGAGGGTGGTTGGGAGCTGGGGGTAGCCCCTGCGCTGTGATTGCCTGTGCAGATACCCCATGGGAGAGGGGAGTGACAGCCTCACCAAGCTGCTCCTGGGAGCGCACCAGCCCTGGCATGGCCCCCACTGCCAGGATCCGCCATGAAACAACCCCCATATTCCCAGGGTGCTGCAGGGGAACCACGGGAATGGAGCAGGATTTTGTGATGCTGCATCCATTTTGCCTTGGAAGTCAGCGCTGGTCCAAAGTCACTTCCACGTCCCCCGGAGTTGCCCTAAAACTGAGCACAGCAACTCACACAAGCGAAGGGTGACACCCTTGGACGCAGGCTGCCAGCCAAGGCAGTGGGCAGGGAAGCCCCCGTGCCTTGAGACTGAGCCCCCGGAGGAAACCTTAGCACCAGCTATGAATCCAAAATACTACCAAAGCCCAGTGGGACCTCTCGTTTCAATGCATCCCTCACCTCCGCGTTTCTTTCCACCGTTTAGGGGATGACGAAGCCAGCGCTCCCCATGCTGTGCTCAGGTTGCAGTCCTGGCCCCTGCTTCTATCCCAGGAACGTAATGCATTCTAGGTCTGAATAAGGAAAAAGGGACATTTTGACCATGCCAGGGCTTTGCTGTCCCAAGACATGTCTCTAGTGGGAAGTCCATGGAAAAGGACCCTTTGCTGAGGGCAGGGGTCCCGACGGGTCATGTACCCACCACTGGGGAGTTTTCAGGGGGCTGCTGTGCTGGGAGGGATCTCATGGGTAGCAGTGGTGTATGTCTGACTTCAGGGAATTGAGCTGGTTTTCAGTTCACAGGCGCAGCCACCCATCCTTTGTCTTTGCCAAGTCCTCGCCGTGGTCGGGTTCTCTTTAACAGGCGTTAATTTGCGGTGCCATCGCTCGACGGGCAAACAGGGCGTTGTGGCCCGCTTCACACTTTGGCATTTCCAATTAATGTGCAAAATGTCAGGAACTTGAGGCAGACCTGCCTGCTTTCACCCTCACCTGCCCATTCCTGCGAAGTCCGTTCGTCAGGGCCGGGGCGAGCCGAGTCGCTGGCTGCAGGGGATGCGGCAGGAGGGCAGGAGGCTCCACTGCCTCCGGTTACTGCCGCGGGGCAGAGCCCTGACAGCGCTCGGCAAGGGGCCAGGGAAGAGGCGTTTTGGAGGTGGGAGCAGTTTTGGGCTGCAAGACCCAAGCGAGGATCCCTGGCAGGGTCCAGTAGTGCCGCATCCACTCGGATCCAGCCCTATCCCAGCAGCAGATCGTGGTCTCGCCGGCTGCTGCAGTGCAAGCAGAGAGGAGGGTTTGGAGGTGGCCACTGGCCAAGGGCTCTCTTGCCCTGGCATGAAGCAGGAATTATCTATAGAAACCGGAGGGAATGGGGTGTTTGACGCAAGGATTAATTCCCTGCCCTTAGGAACTGCCAGGGATCTGCGCTATGTCATACGGGTCAGGTAAACAACCTATATTGCGGGGAGGCCAGATGGCAGCAGCACTTGCTGTTGCAGGGTCAGAGGGGAAGAAACAAAGCCAGGAAAACAAAATCACGCTGTGAGCCTCCGAGTTGTTTGCACAGAGTATTACCCATGCACTTCCAGGCTTGTTACTCGCCCGCTCCCACGCGGGAGCTGGCGTGGGCAGCCACCCGTGCCCGTGGGGCTTTGCAAGGGAGGGTCTGCTGAGAAGGGTCTCCCTGGGCTGGAGCAGAGCCTCTTAGGACCCCGGGGTTGCAGAGGGCAGCGGGCTCTGCCCTTGCACTGGCAGGAGAGCGAATGTACATAGCCGCAGCATCCTGGGCACGGGGATGCACAGCATCCAGCTCCTTGCAGCCCAGTGCTGTAATCTCCCTGCTTTTAGGGAATTTTAAGTGACCTACT